ACTTGGTTTGCTGAAGAGAGTGATCATTATAGCTTTAAGAACATATTGTTATATGCTTTTCCCTTGCATTTTGAAGCATCCTGTCCTAGAATAAACAGGATTTACTTGCAAATACAGAAGTTATGTAATTTTACAAAGCTTGAAGTTTTGAGATCTGTGCTGGGGTACACAGTCGTTTTTCCCAGAAGCAACAACTATCCTTTCAGTCACATAAAATTGTTCTGAGAACTTCTGTGTACTGTGCATGTCTATAAAACAGCTTATACTAACTTCTCTTTCAAAGTCCAATGTAAATAAATATGTTATCGTTTCATAATTAAATTTCACATTTAACATTTATATTTTTTCATCAATTTCAATTAAATTTTGACTATTTTAAGTGGTCCTTCATATGTGGTTAGTGGTGCATGTAAGGCAAAATAACTTCGGGTTTGCACTGTGCTAGAAAAATTTAGTGTGTGCCAAAATACCAAACATCTTTGTTAACTGTAGAATTGCTTAACCAGTTTCAAAACTGAATATAGAACGGAAGAAATCTTTCTGGATTCTTTATGAAAACCTACCTGTTTATGTTCTTTTTAGCATTTCCCTGTTCTTAGCAAATGTTTTAAATGGTAGCAGTGTACATGTACATGTATTCCAGTGGTTAAGGCTTATGAAAAGTATGCACATGTATTAAGAATTTTGACAATCCTTGTATTATAAAGTAAGTGATATATTGATAAGACAAAAGATATACATGTTAATCACAGGAAGAAGCACCATAATATTGATTTGAAGGAACGTATTCTAATAATTTCAGAAACATAAATACATGAGACTGTTAACACACTCTTGTAGCAAAGTGATGGCAAAAATAGGACAAAAATACAGACAAGAAATACCATCAGACCGTAGCATCATAGGAAAGGAACAGTCCTCTAGACCAGCTCTTCTGTGTACGCATTTAGTCTGGTCCACGGTGACCCTTGCAGTACTTCTACTTCAGTTAAGGACATTACTCGTAGTCTCAATGTCTACGTGGGAGAGCAGCGTACAGTAGCAGTAAGAGGACTGGAGAAGTCTTGCAACCTTTCTCAGGTTTAAATTCCTGGCTAACGACATGCTTCATAATATTGTGTCAATGAATGGATGCCTCTGCCACCTTGAAAAAGGAAATAATTAATTAACAATGTACTAAGATGAGTAATCCACAGACCACAGTAATCTCCAAAGATCAGGCAACTGTTCCTGCCGTTCTAGAAGAGAATCCCTGTTTGTTTCTTCTGTTCACTTACTTGGAGAGACTAAAGGATGGTGCATTAATGGAGTTACAGAATATCCCACTTTGCTAACCATTAGCATTGTGCATTCTGTGAGCAGGTTTCTTGTGTATCGGGATGGGGTGGGGGTGAAACGTTATCACACAGAAATTATTAGTAAGAAACAGGTACTAGAAACACAACAGATACTCAGTGCTAAATATTAATAGCTGCTGGAAAACCCTACCAAATTAAATTATGATTAATTTTCTCTCTCTTGGATCCTTCAGGTCAAGGCTGGGTGGGTTAGTGAAGTGATGCTTAAGCCCTAGAATTTGTTTTAAATACAGGGGGAACTGACCAGAATTCTGTGACTTGCCCGTTGCAACTCAGACTAATGACAGTTTTGCATCTTGATGCTGCAGTTACCTCCACAGAAGGAAATATGTCTTTGAGTGTTATAGCCGTTCACTGACTGAAATGTCGGGTAGCATTGCCTAGATGTGGTGCCATGAGAATACACCTGTACAGCTTTTGGACTTAGCATGTCTTAATGTGATGGTGCCCGTATGCATTTGCAAGTGTGTGTCTGTGGTAAACATAGAGTCTCTCCATGTCGCCACACACTGTAGGCATTCTTCTCATGAGTTAACCATCTTTATTGGCCTTAAAATCAATGAATTTATATGTGAAAGACTAGGAGAAAGAATGAGGCAAGTTTCTTTTGCACTGGTGAAATCAACACTGATCAAGAGAAAATTCAAACAGATTATAAACAGAGTTCTTGACGAGCAGTGTTACAAGTGAAATAGCATCAAGATTGAGCTGTACATAGGAAGTCCAACAAGTAGTTCCAAGTTGGGAGGGAGAGGGGGCTGACTGAACAAAAAAATCTTTGGAGGAAGAGAAGGAAATAATTTCTGTGTTAGACCTAAGGATTTCTTACTTATTTAAATGAGAGAAATTTAGATGTATTTAAAAGAGAAAATACAAAGGAAAAAGTAGAGGGTACAAGGCACCAGATCTAATCCAAGGTTTAGGGAATTATTATAATTATTCTTTGACTTCAGTGAAATCTGAACAGGTTCGAACTGCTTTTGAAGTAAAAATGTGTCTAGGGGAACTGACTGTGATGACTTCATTTCTCCTTGTCTACCTTGACACTAGAAAATAACTGATAAAGCCTATTTTAGGGTATTAATGTTAAAAATACTAATCTGTTTATCAGTTGGTTTATTTCTGGAGGTCTGTAGTTTTGTTACAGCTTTCAAAAATTTGGTAGTAATTTTACAGTACTGTTTTCAGAGCCAGATACTGTATTTTGTATCCATCAGCATAATTCCATTGACTTGAATGGAATGACAGTGATTTACGTAACCTGTTGACCTAGTCTCATTTTATCCTGAAAGCTTATCATCAATGAATTGTTAGAAGAGGAAAAAGATGCACAAAAATCATTTAATGACATTTTCTCTGGTTGAAAAGTTATATAATAATTTTGTTTGTAAGCATCTGTAAAGCCAAATATCAGGTCCTGGCCTAGAGGAATTCTCATTTGAAGACACAGCAAGTTCAGTTCTGTGCAAAGAGAGAGGGGGATGTGGCTGGGCTGCTGGCAGCAGCAAAGTGGGTATGAGCAGCCTTTTGTCCTCAATTGATCGGGGTGATACTTCCTTTTTTAGATACTTTAAATGTCAATGAGAACGTTGTGTGGACTAGAGAAAAAGTAAATAAGCTGAATATCAGTCTCAGGTGTTTTTCCATGGTTTTAAAAGCTCTAAGTGGTACAATTTACACTTCTGAAATACAGTGAACCCCGAACTTGTGACTGCCTCATAGTCAAAGGTCCTCTTACTGAAATCTTGTGTTTCTTTACCATAATTAGAACTTGATAGAGAATTATATGTCTGCTTAAGTACACTGGTGGAATAGCAGAAATAGGCATTTAGTTATTGCTCAGTTTATTTGAAGAGCTAGGGTGTATACTGATTTCTTCAGCTTTTTGTAGGCTATCACAGGACATTTTTTCCTCCTGTTAACTGTAGGAAAATGGGAACAGAGGAAGGATTTTTTTCTCTATAAATCCAGTTAGAGTTTGATGGGGTTTATTTTATCTAAAGATAAATGCTTAGAAAAAAACCCACAGAAACTCTCTCTCCTGTTTTATACTGACAAATTAGATTATAAAATAGAAACTCTTTAATTTTTCAGATGCATATCGTTGTTACTGAAACAAACAATTTTAAGACTTAAAATGCTTTTTACTACCGTACTTCACATTTTTTCAAAAAGTAACTCAAAAGTCAGACTTGATAGTTCATTTATATACAGATCTGTGACACTGTGTTCTTTTCTTGAGCTTATTTGAAATGATCATATCACCAGAAGCTTCTGGTAATTCACAGCCCACTTAAGGAGAGTGCCATCTTCCAAATGAGGAGAGAAAAAATATGAATGTGATTTTAATAAAGACAAGAGATAATGGAAATGAGTAAAGAAAGGAGAAATAGAAACAGCACCTTTGGCTTAGCCACTTCTTCAAGTAATCCTTGGATATGGCATGATAGGGCTTGCAGGCAGACACAAGTTTATTCTACCTGCAACTTGGAAGAGGCTGTACATGAGCTTTCTCTAAATTGGAAGTTATATAGCAGTGCTAAGCCTGCAGAATATAACACTTGAGGATTAATCTAAATTGGTAGTACTTTTTAAAACGTTCTGGACATTTTTATGACCATCAACAATATTTTAAGCTTTTTAAAAGCTTTACTGTATTGCTCTATTTTATGATAAACAGTAAGCTTCTAGCCAATAGTCACCAAAAGAGTTCTTTCTTCCCCAGTATAATACTGTGGAAACGTAAATGTGTCCTAAACTTTTCAAAGAATGGGTTTTCTTTGACTAGGGGTGAGGATAAGAGTAAGGATAGCTGACCATAAGTAATTGATCTGACTGATTTCTGCAGATAGATACTTTACTGTGTCATACATGAGTGTACTTCATGTAAAACATCCAATTTTGAGCTCCAGACATTCTGCTGCTGTGCTAGCCCACAGTGGAGTATGAAGAGTGAGTGATATAATCATATTCACTAAGTAAATTTTCTGCTTATGTCAAATTTTTATCAAAAATGAATGCAAATCAAAATAAACACTTCTCTAGAATCATGAGTTCTCCAGGATTGTGAGTCATTGAATTGACATCACAGATTTATTAAGCTTTGTTAGTCCAGCCTTGGAATTGGCATACACAGTCCTATTGAGATGTAGGGAATGTAGAAAGGATTATTATAGGTAATATTTTGTGTTGCTATGTCAGGTGTATCATTGCATATTTCAGTAGATACGCTTACAGATATGTGGTCTTGCTTTTTTTTTAGGCTATTAAAAAGCAGAGTGCAGAAACCAAACTCACTGTAATAAGAATCCACCACGTAATCTGAATTAAATGCAGATACTCTATTAAGATGAGTCATAACCCAAAATCAAAATGAACAGTGATGTAAATGCATGACTGAATTATTGCTTTCCATTTCAGGTCAAGAAATGGAGAACAGAATTTTAGTTTCCATTTCCAAAAATAGTATGATGGATACTTAAGTTATTCTGTTGTATGTTAGTTTAAAATCTTTGTATAAAAAGCCATGATTGATTTTACAGTTTCCTATATTTATTGTGTGTGTGTGTGTCTCTGTTTTAGAGACATTTCAAGCCTTCAGGTTTTTTCTGAGTTAACTCTATCCCATGTATTACTTGTTAGATCTGACGAGATTCATGTTCTCTTTCAGGAGACGCTGATAGATTGGTGTGATGAGAAGGAACTTAATTTGATTTTAACAACTGGAGGAACAGGGTTTGCACCACGAGATGTCACTCCAGAGGTGAGATAGTCCTGGAATAAGAACAATCTGCCCTTTTGTGTAGAAATGTATAAGTCTGGGGGAGGGGGGTGATGTTTTTTGACATTTCCTCTGTAACTTTACTTTGCAGTATCTCTGGACAGGTCAAGTGATACACAGCTTGGAAACAGAAAAAGTGGTAGGAAATATAGCACAGCAGAATTACTCTGACCTTGGGGTCTGACCCAAAATGATTTTCAAACTAAGATGTGGCATAGTATAATGGTTTTCCAGTCCCTTTACAAAACAAAATTCTAGTGGCTTTTTGACATAATTTTCTTTAGCACTGCAGTACAATACTGCTAAGAAACATTTGTCTGGCTTTTGTTGTGTCCTGCACAAGAAAAAGTGGGATAAGAGAGATCCTGTAATTCCCCCTTGGAGGCTACTGGATTGACAGCTACTGCATTATAGGTTAGAGTGTGAGAGGCATATAATAGGGGGAAAAATTCTGTGCGAAGCTGCTTTTGCTTGGCTTAACACCACGTTGTCAAAAAAGGCTAAAAAGTACAGAGATGGAGGTAACCTGCGCCAGTAAGTGTTGCACAAGAAATCTGGTTACATTCCACTTATAAGGAGCTAAGGTAAGGAAAAAGAAAAAAGGAAACTTAATGACCTCATTGCCATGAATTGTAATATGGAATGACTGTGTGATTGTTGTATTCTGGTATTTGTGGTTCCAAATTAGATTAATATGAACTTTTAAAACATGCATACTTTTTTTTTTTTGCTTATATCCACTAAAGGGCAGAATTAAGATTGAGTGCTTGAAGTGTTCAGGTTGGAAGGGACCTTAAAGCTCATCCAGTCCAACCCCTGCCATGGGCAGGGACACCTCCACCAGCTCAGGTTGCTCCAAGCCCCATCCAACCTCCAGGGTGGGGACATCCACAGCTTCCCTGGGCAACCTGGGCCAGTGTCTCACCACCCTCACAGTAAAGAATTTCTTCCTTATGTCTAATCTAAATCTACCTTTTTTTTCAGTTTAAAGCCATTACCCCTCCTCTTATTACCAGACTCACTGATAAAGAGTCCTTCCCTATCTTTTCTATAGGCTGTCTTCATGTACTGAGAGGCTGCTATAAAGTCTCCCCGGAGCTTTCTCTTCCCTAGGCTAAACAACCCTACCTCTCTCAGCCTGGCCTCATAGGGGAGGTGCTCCCGCCCCCTGATCATCTCCATGGCTCCCCTCTGGACTTGCTTCAACAGGTCCATGTCTTTCTTATCTTGTCTTTGGGTCCCTAGAGCTATACGCAAGGCTTCAGGTGAGGTCTCACAAAAGCAGAGTAGAGGGGTAGAATCACCTCCCTTAACCTGCTGGTCACACTTCTGATGCAGTCCAGGATATGGTTGGCTTTCTGGCTTGCAAGTGCATCTTGCCTGGTTATGTTCTTCTGATAAACCAGCATCCCAAGTCCTTTTCCTGAGGATGTTGTTTTTATTTAATGTATTTAGATTTTTCTTCAGTACTCATCTAAGTTTTCAATTGCTTAGGCTTTCAACTTAGAGTTGGGTTGAGTTCATTGTAACACATAAAGCTTTTTAGTTACAAATGTATTCTGTCAGCTGTGGCTGCAGTTTAACTTTTTTTCGTTAGCAATCTAAAAATGTTTTTTAATTCATTGTCTAATATTTGTGTAACTAAACAAACACGTAGAGAACATGCTCCTGTATATTACTTCTGATGTTTTTTATATTATATATTAGAAACCTTAGGTAACTAAAAGCTAAGGGTCTATGTATCAGAAAATGAGAACAGTATGAGATGACCCCAGTGTGCCAGCATAGTGTAACTGAATTTGCACTGTGCTAAAGCAACACAGAAGTGAAAAGTGTCTTGGTTGGATAGATCTCTTACTTGCAAACTAACTTAATGGTTTTGAAGGTTGTATTCCAAGCACTGTGGAAAAAGAGGGCTGAATTTCTGCTTCAGTTTTCCTGATTTATTACCTTTATGCAGGGTCGAGCCTAGGCAGTAGTGCCAGAGGAAGCATTGCAACCAGTGCCAAAAATTAGCCATGGATTCTCAGGCAGCATTTGGGACAAGAAATAAACAAATGAGAACTCTACACAAAAACATGTAGTACTTTCCTTACATTGCTTTATTGCTGTTACTCAAACTAACAGTGAGCCATTTCAAAAACTACATAGTCTTTAGATGTTGTGGTTTAAGCCCAGTGGGCAACTGAGTACCATGGTGCCATTCACTCACTTCCCCACTCCCCAGTGTGGGATGTGGTGAAGAAAAAGTATAACAAAGAGTTTGTGGGCTGAGACAAAAGGACAGGGAGGGTTTGCTCACCACTTATGGTCATGGGCAAAAGACAGACTTATCTTGGGAATCAAAACAAGCAATTTAATTTGTTACCAGTAGCATCAGAATAGAATAGTGAGAGATACAACCAGATCTTAAAGTCAGACACCTTCCCCTACCCTTCCCTTCTTCCCAGGCTCAGCTTTTTCCCGGTTTCTTTATCTCCCCCTCTGCCCAGCAGCACAGGGGGATGGGAATGGCGGTTGCAGTCAGTTCATCCCATGTGGTCTCTACTGCTCCTTCCTTTTCAGGGGTAGGAAGGAGC